CAACAGATTGGCAAATAACAAATGTGCTGCCAATATTCAAAAAAGGAGTTATATAGTAGGATACTTTAGAGCAGTCAGACTAACATCAGTAGTATGCAAAGTATTGGAAGGAATGGTTAGTGACCATATCCAAGAATTTGCCAGTGAAAATTATGAAAAATAATTTTGTGGAGTGGCTCTTAATGAAGCACACTATAATGAAATGGATCGATGTTTAGCACCATACTTGACTTTATGTATACTAGGAGTTTGTGACCATCTCACATATATAAAGTGCAAGATATACTCAACAATATTGTTGTATATTGATGGTGTTAGTCTAATTGCTTTTAAGGTTCTATTTTATATACAATTTATAATAATGTTGTTCTATATATTGAGCCCTTTTAAATGGCTGTGGATTTGTTGTCTCCATGTGGTGCAATAAAAGTCCCATTGTGACCCCTCTCCTTTTTCTAGTTTAGGAGGTGATTACCTTCTTTTTTGTCTGTTGTTAAGAGATGATACCCATGGATACAAATGTGCATGTGGCATACGTCCGCCCTTTCACTTATTTAAAGATGTGGAATTCCCTTCCACAATTAGTGGTGTCAGAGGGAGTAAAGATCAATTAAAAAAAAAAAAACAACTTTTAGTTATGTTTGTCAGCTAATACAATTTATAGGGAACTGGAAATTAGTGGCAACACACAACCAAACACACACACTGAAGTGAATGGACCTGTGTCTTTATTTATCCATATGAAGAATGTAACTATGTAATTTACTGGTAAAACAAATGTGGGGGAGGGGGAGGGAAACACCACTGGTAAAGCACCTTATCCCAAGTTGATGAGGACAAGGGCCTATTCTCCACAGCCCTAGCCAGTGGTTGTGGGGGTCTGTGGGCAGAGGGCCTATTGGAATCTGGAAACCCCTTTCAAAATAAGATAAGAAATAAAGACACCCAAACTTTCATAAGACCTTTATTATTAAAAAAATAAAATCCCAAGAAAGTCCCTTGGAAATTCATTATCAATCACAATACCTGCCCTCCACCTATCTGCTGAGGATAAAAAAAACCTGATGACCCAGCATATACAACTGATCCTGATGGTACCACTGTGTCAGAGCCTGGGATTGAACCTGGGCCTTCAGCCTTGAGAGACAATGTTTCTTCTTGCTGAGCCACCTGGAATGCTGGACAGCTCCCTTGACAATTCTTTGGATGATCCTGCCTTGGCCCTGGTTTCTCTTGAACCTTGAACTCCTTGCTCCTCCCATGAACTTCCTATATAAGCCATGTCCATACACTTCCTCCTTGCCAGATTATTGTGCCTTACCAGCCAATATCCAGTTTATTGTCCCTGCTGCCGTCTATACCTCCCGCTACCGACCTTTGGCTTGTTCCCGACCACGATTTTGTCTCATCCACTAACATCTGTGACCAACCCTTGGCTTGTTTGACTCTGCTTCTGCTTATCCCTAATCTGTATCGATTACCGGCTTGCTCATTCCCTGGTGGAGTGATCCTAAGATCTGCAACCTGGTATTGACACGCAGCCAAATCCATCTCCACCATTAGGAGCTCTGGTGAAAACCGGTTAATGCTTAAACCCCGCTCCTCAGGTGAGCCTGCGTGATTTCCCAGGGTGACCTGCCTGTGTACCTATCCTGCTGGTTTAAGGTAAGCCTTACACTGCTATAGCAACTGGTCTCTGAACCTGACCCAGACCGTGACACACTGGCTGCTCCCCCAGCTGTCATATAAGTTAAGGGACAGGGATAGTGGTGACATATGGTCAGTGGCCATATTTGGGCAGCGGTATAACTACTAACACCAATCTCTGGCTTACATGGATGGGATATCCCAGTCATATAAGGCATTGTGCCATCAAATCAGCAGTTCCTGTGGGCTTCTTGCTTGGGAACCAGTGACAGCAGTAAGCTACCATAACTAGAAGCAGCAGATATGCTGCTTCTATACTGTATATGATGCTCGGCTCACACTGAACAAGGGGGCAAAAATTGGGCCCAAACCTAGTGAATTATTGTTTCATTCCTAATCCTGTTAATCCGGTCTAAAGTTGACCTTACCACAATTCTTATACCCTATCCATTTGACAATGGTAATGTCAGCAACTTTTAGTCACTAAGATGTGAATAAAATTGTAAAAACCTATTGACAGTCAGTCTTAATTAGTAGGTTCTTAATGCAAAATTTCCAGCCAAGCTGTCAGAGAATGGGAAGATCGCTGCGGCGATCGAATCTGCACATGCGTAGAATCCTGACAAAGCCTACAGGCAGGCGGGGGCACTAGGACCCAGGCGCGCCTGTCACCAATGACGGTGCCGGGCAAGCACTAGGACCCAGGAGTGCCTGTCAGGAGTCGGGTGGGCTATTTAAAACCCGGCTCTTGCAATGATCAAGTGCCGTATGGTCTTATCTGTGTTCCTGAGTTCCTGTAAGTAGTTTGTTTGTTGCCAACCCTGCCTGACCCTGATTTGCTGTCCGTCTCCTGCTCTGATCCCTGGCTTTGTCTGACCATTCTCCTGCTTAACCCCATACGTTCTGACCTCCTGTTGACGAACCCGGCTTGTGACCTGTTTATCTCTCTGCCTGCTGATTCTGTACTACACCGCCACCACTGTTACCGACCCGGCCTGCCCGACACTGCTCTAGCTACCTCCTCACATCAGACTCTTAACCACTATACACCTTCAACGGTGCCTCTACCACAGCTGGGTGAACCCAGGGGCTGCGGCCGGGTCTTGGCCTGCTCCAAGTCCATCCCAACCATCAGGGGCTCTGGTGAACAAGCAGGTCGGAGCTTAGATTCCGCTCCTTGGGGGATTCCGGTCTGTGGAGTGCTAGAGGCTACCGCGGTTGGATTCCTGACACAAGCACTTATATATGCATTTAAAAATATATTGATTGTTTACCTAATAAAGGTTTTGTAATTTTTTTTTAATTTTGTAAGTCAGTCTTGTAACTTATATTTTCCATACTGCACATTGAGATAGGTGACAAATAAAGTTCTTTATTAGGGAATTTTGATCCTGGTTCAGCAATGTAGTTTCCTTTGTCATCTCTCTGTGTGGACACTAAAATGATACTGATATTGAGGTTGATTTACTAATACTGAGACTCTTCACTCAATAAAATGGATATTAAATTATTCATTCATGTGAAAAGAATGTTCCTGCTTACTGTAAATCCACAGTCGTGTGCAGAAGCTCTTGAATATTGAAGAAAAAATTCACACATTTTATTGAGTGGAAATGATCAACTCCTTTAATAAATCAGCCCCTATATCTCCTTTTGCCAGTAAACAGAAAACTGACATATAGAACAGGAATACTAAACAAGGATGTAGCAGAATTATGTTCTGACTGTGTATATCACAAGAATGGTTGACCAAAATTATTCACACTTTGACAAGTAAAAAAATTCTTAAATGTTTAAACTTAACTACTCAATGATTTATAATTCATTTTTCTGAAGTCAGGTCAGTATAAGACACTTTCTGATTGGTCACTTTAGATTATTGCAATTAATGATTAGTATTTAAGAACAGATATGGCCATGTATTTAGCAAACTGACAGGAAATGATTTAGAGCTGTAATAAATGGTACACTCTTTTTTTTGGTACAGAGTAAGAGCAATTGCCACTGTAATGAACAGTGCAATTTATATATGAACTATGACTATGATGTAAGGTTGAAGGCAATTTAGAGCAGACCCATGCACCTTGTGACCATAAAGCATGATGTACAGTAGATAGTTAAAGATCGCTCTGATGCCTGTGACTATAGAAAGGGCAGTACGATGCTGACAATGTTGTAAGGGCCCATCTAATGTCACTAGAACTAAAAATAGCAGAAGTCACCAAAAGTTTGCAGATACCTCATTCAAACTGGTAAAATCCAGGCCAAATACAGATTTTGGGGAATCAGTTTATTCATCTTTAATTATCATTATTTTGATATAAATTTAGTACTCAATTCTAAAATGAGTGTTGGTAAAATATATCTGAAACTAGTAGATAGGGTTGACATTCAGCTGTCGATCTCATATGATTTTTGTAATTTTTCAGTAGACCTCTGTCATCTGTGACAGTAACTGTAGTTGCAGCACATATCTTTCTAGAAAAGATAAGGTTCTTTAAAGTGGTATAATCAGACATACACCAAGCCAGGGGCGGACTGACAACTCATGAGGCCCCCGGGCAATAGGGGATCATGGAGCCCCTGTGTCCTTGACCAAACTCAAAAAAGGTACCAGGGGCATCTTATGGGGCCCCCTACTGACCCTGGGCCCTCGGGCAGTGCCCGAGTTTCCAAATGGTCAGTCCGCCCCTGCACCAAGCTAAAAGATAGGAAAAGTACTAATAAAGATTATCTATACTCTGGAATATCATATTTTTCACAGTTCTTTTAAGACATAAAACACACACATGATGCAAAGCGCTTCTTTTCTCTTTGTTAGTTTTTGCTACGCTAGAACAATGTTTACTATTAATATCTTTAGTTTGGTTGTCTGATTATAACCTTGTATATTCCCTGTTATAAAGACTTTTTTTTTGCTTTACTGCTAAGAGATTTAAAATAATTTACACACCTAACAGTCTCTGGCTGTACATATATAATAGTGGTTTTACAGTATAAAAATAGGGGAATTGTTTTTAAATGGCACAAAAATGAAAAATGGAAACAAAAAACAATAATGCCAAGGTCAAGACACAAAAAAAAAAAAAGCTGTAAATATTCTACTGCATTTGTAAAAGAATTTTGGCATTATCTCACAATGTCTGTGTAGCTGTTAGGGTAGCAAAGATGCAATTGGTGAGGAATATATGAATGACACTGTACATTTTATTAGTAGTTATTGTTTCAGGATAAGTATTCTCCATTCCATTCCTGTTTTCCAAGTCCCATGGAAATGTTTTATCCAAAAATATCACCTCTTTTACTGCACCAAACCACTAAGCTGATCATTGCTGCTGTCAAGAAAATTGGAATTAGAATAAGAGTTGTGAGAATTTCATCTGGGGGATCTTCCCATGTGACTGTGTCCAAAGTGCAGTTTGAGAAAAATTGTCTATGTATTCCAGTAATAAATCTCTCCGCCACGGTGTTTGGCCAAAAGCATCCAGCAACCAGCGCAGTTGTTTCTGTACAGTTGGAAAAGCTGCCATAATGCCTGCAAGATAAAAAAAAAAAGAATAATATACAAATACATTTAATGAAAACTGTAGCATATAAACAATGAAAAAATCCCCATTAATATTGTATCAGATATATTTCATTTTCAATTCTATGTGCTACTTTTAAAACCTTATTCTCTGCAAAGAGAATGTTAATAAACAAGGTGAATAAGTGATCACATCAAACTGAAACATCATGCATTGTGGAAATGTAAACAATCAGGAATTATAACATATGGTTATGTAATCAAAGTAAACACAACTTAATTTTATTGGTTAATGACAGGAGCCGACTGACAACTCATGCGGCCCCCGGGCAATAGGGGATCATGGGGCCCCTGTATCCTTGCCCACACTCAAAACAGCCTATGAAAGGTACCAGGAACATCTCATGGGGCCCCCTACTGACCCCAGGCCCTCGGGCAATGCCCGAGTTCCCCAATGGTCAGTCCGCCCCTGGTTAATGATCACTTTGCCAAGTGAACAGTCTCTGCTCCAAAAATGTGCCAAACGTTCATTATAGGTGAAATAATTAATTTCAACTTTCAGATTGAAACTGTTCATTGGAACTTTTTCCTAATGGATTCCCAGCTCTGGCACTATGAATGTGGTTTCCAGTTTGAAGTGTTTTCTAGGCTTTCCCTGTGTTTGCACAGATTTTGTCAGGGTGCCCCAATTTTTTTGATTCTGAATACCAACACTAACAGAAAGTGCTTTTACCCAATATTTATCTTAATGTGTATGATTTTGCCTTTATGACTCTGTGGGGGACATAAGGCTGCCCATAGGCATGAGGTAATGCTCAACAAACATCTAAAACAACTATCCTATGAAACATCTTTTCATTCAGAATGTCGTGAAATTATTTGTTTGCAAAAATATGCATGCAGGCAGAACCTACTGTTATTCACAATTTAAGGTCGATTTCAGAGAACACATCTAGAAATATGCAAAATTATAAACTTTACTGCTAGCCCCCAGTTACCCACTACCCCTATGTGAATTAGTAAAGTGTACATAGTATATATAAAGAAAATGCAGCGCTGTGTGATGTTACTATATTGCGGGCAGATATAAATAATAAATTAAACCAAAGCAAATGAATAAATCAATCAAAAATAAATAAATCACAGTCCAGTAATGGTGCTCGCTGATTGCCAGTGCAAAAGTTAGAAATGCGCACTAACCAGAAACATATTATTAATACGCATGTGTATATGATATCATGGAGATTCCCCTCTCTTTTCTGGTCTGGTAATGGGCAGGAGCTGAAGATAGTAGAGATGAAGCGCCCTCGTGTGGCGAAATGGAGGTCCAGCAGGTCACAGAAATCCTTACGGAAGTGTGTGAAGTGGAAAATTCCTCCTCTCAAAGGCTGGTGCAGGGATCAATCTGGGTCTGCAGAAGCTGAAAAGGCTCATCGCAGAAGACACAGGAAAGAATCCATAGTGTAGTAGGTTGATGAAAATGATTTTATTCAAGAAAAACAGGAGTGTTCAGGAAAAACTCACAATGGTGCCATCAAATGACTGACCCTTTAAGATTAAAGATGGCCGCCGGGCCTCCACGTGGCACCGACGGTGTAGTGTCAATGGCATCCTGGGCTCCACCTAGGGCGCTTCATCTCTACTATCTTCAGCTCCTGCCCATTACCAGACCAGAAAAGAGAGGGGAATCTCCATGATATCATATACACATGCGTATTATTAATACGTTTCTGATTAGTGCGCATTTCTAACGTTTGCACTGGGAATCAGCGAGCACCATTACTGGACTGTGATTTATTTATTGATTTATTTATTCGTTTGCTTTGGTTTTATTTATTATTTATATCTGCCCGCAATATAGTAACATCACACAGCGCTGCATTTTCTTTATATATATATATTTTTTTTGGGACTTTTATGTGTTTTCCTTGAATGTTCAGCTGCTGACCATTGGAGCGCTCACTGTATTTTTTTATACTCTCATGCAAGTGTACATAGTACCCCTAGTTACTTTCTCCAAAAAATTGCAATGTACAGAAACACACCACACAAGAAAAGTAATCTATAAAATAAAGAATATCTCACAATGTAAATCCATCATCAACTGCAATTAGCAAAACATGCTAATCCAGACAGACTTCTCTCACCATGAAGGTCAATTTCCTCTATCAGATGAATGTAAACAAAGGGGCAGCGTATCGCAGGTGATATCACTGACCACGGATCTCCAGCCCTGTTTTTACAATCAGCTACAGGATCTAGAAAATGTCATTCACTGCATGTGTGGATATGCATACAACCGTGTGAGGGCTGTGTTTTGTGGGCACGGGATGCACAGGTGTTGAATGCATCCACATGCAGGCAACATGAGTGGCGGCAGCTGCATGGATACAGCTGTTCCTCTTAATTTTCTTAATTTGAAACCCACGTGGGTGATATCAAATTGGGAGCAGTGACTTTGCAGCTTTTGCGCTCCAATTGACATGAATGGGACTGCCTGCATGCAGATGCAGGGGACACCTATGCATCCTGCACAGGCAAAACACACTCCTCACTCATATTTGTACACTTAACCACTTGAGCTCCAGAGGATTTACCCCCCTTAATGACCACGCCTCTTTTTGCTACTCGGCGCTGCACTAATTCAACTGATAATTGCGCGGTCATGCAATGCTGCACCCAAACGAAATTTACGTCCTTTTTTTCACACAAATAGAGCTTTCTTTCGGTGGTATTTGATCACCTGTGCGCTTTTTATTTTTCACGCTATAAACAAAAAAAGGCCAAAAATTTTGAAGAAAAACAATATTTTTTACTTTCAGCTATAAAAAATATATAGTAAACTCAAAGTTAATTATAAATTTAGGCCAAAATGTATTGTGCTCCATGTTTTTGGTAAAAAAAATCCAATAAGTGTATATTGATTGCTTTGTATGAAAGTTATAGCGTCTACAAATACTGCAATTTACGCCATTTTTCTGCTATACAGCGCTGCGCTAGTTTAACGGACAATTGTGCGGTCATGCAATAAGGTACATAAATGAAATTTACATCCTTTTTTTCCCCACAAATTGAGCTTTCTTTCGGTGGTATTTGATCACCTGTGCGGTTTTTTATTTTTTGCGCTATAAAAAAAAAGGCTGACAATTTTGAGGGAAAAAAAACCAATATTTTGGACTTTTTGCTATAAAACATGTCCAGTAAAAAAAAAAATGCAAAACTAATTTAGTCATAAATTTCGGCCAAAATGCATTCTGCGACATGCCTTTGCTAAAAAAAAAAACCAATACGTGTAAATTAATTGGTTTACGTGAAAGTTATAGCGTTTACAAATGGCGGGAAAGATACTGGGATTTTTAATTTTTATTTATACTAATAATGGCGCCGATCAGCGACATATAGCGGTAATCAGCGACATATGACGGCGACCAGCAACTTATGCGGGACTGCGGGACTGAGGCAGGCATTTTGACACTGGGGGGGGAGCTGACTTGGGGTCACTGACATCCCCAGTGACACCAATACAGTGATCAGTGAAAAAAAAACCACTGAAACTGTACTGGGGAGGAAGGGGTTAACATTTTTAGTGTTCACTGTGTGAGGGGAGTGTTTTACTAGGGGGCGGGGGGGTGTACTGGACGGGGGGAGGGGGAGGGGGGAGCTGATCGAGGGAGAGAAACTGTTCTCTCCCTCTGCAGCTTGGCGGCGAACTGTCACAGAGCAGGCTGTGTGTAAACAATGCAGCCCTGCTCTGTTTCAGTGTTCACCGCTCATCGTGGGAAAACGGCCGGTAAAAACCGGCCGTGACCCGGCGGCGGAGACCCGCTGCTGACACCCGCGGGACAGGTAGGGCGGGCGCGTGCCTCGCGCGCCCCCTGCCTGTTTTGTAGGCACACGTTTTAAAACGTGCTTTTGCCTACGAGCGCCACCCCTGCCACCGTTTATATGCGGTGGCTGGGCGGCATGTGGTTAAGTATACCTGTGTGAGGTCTTTAGATCTGGTATAGATTTTGGGGGAAATCCATGCTTTTTTTTTTTTGTTTGTCACATGGGGTTCCTATTAAAATCCATACCAGACTCCCATCAAGGATAAGGGTCTTGTTTGTATTTTTAGGGGGGACCTCACTCAGTTTTTTTCCTTTAAAGCAGTGGTTCTCAACCTGTGAGTCGCGACCCCTTTGAGGGTCGAACGACCCTTTCACAGGGGTCGCCTAAGACCATCAGAAAACACATATTTCCGATGTGTAAAGAGCAGCTACTGTGTAGAAAGCAGCTGCTGTGTAGAAAGCAGCTGCTGTGTTGAAAGCAGCTACTGTGTTGAAAGCAGCAGTATTGGAGGTAAAACGACACTCATGAATTATAATTACTGGGTAAATAATTTTATGGTTGGGGGTCACCACAACATGAGGAACTGTATTAAAGGGTCACGGCATTAGGAAGGTTGAGAACCTCTGCTTTAAAGCATCATTCATTTTTATAACCAATAACTTTCCGGCCATTAGCATCCTTGCAGCCAATGGCTCAGTTGAAGTCACTGGAGTCAATGTGAGTAGTGATTTAGAAAAGCCCCCAAACTTTCCATATCTTATACAAAAAGGTTAAGACAAGTAACTCTGTAAAGAAAATACAACAAATGCTCTTCTAATCTTGCTTTCAGTGTTGATACTGCACATGTTTTGGGGAGTAACATATCTGTCTACGTTCCTCAATTGTTTATTTATGTATTTTTTTGTTATATTTTATTTGCTTATATTGTATTATTTATTAACTAAAGGTTAATAAGGGGTTTAATAGGAATATATTTTATTTCAAAGCATAGTTTCTCTTATATTGTTCCTTTAAGTGATGATATACAGTATGCAGGTCATAGGTCACACCTTTGATCTACATATGAATGAAATAGTAAATACAGAGTAACAAGCATTTAAAGAGACAATACACTTTTTAAAATGTTTTCCTTTATTTCAGTTATTAATTTTATTGTAATATGTTAAGAAAAAAATA